AACGAATAGTGGGATTGACCGTTACATTATAACGCCCCCACTGCTGAAAGGGCGAGCATATTTGGAGTGACGGGGATTCGAACCCGCAGAATGCGAGTCGAGCGCCCTAACAACCTGGCCATGCCGGGCCTGTCGTATAGAATACGAAAAATACATATTTTCTGACACTGAATGAAACAGACTTTTTAATATTTTTTTAAAAATACCTGTGGTGATAATTTTCAATTAACAGTCTTTCCTTTATATAGCGATTGTGTCTAAAACATTGTTCTCATCTTCAGTGATTTACAGTGAGAAACATATATTTAGGTTACACTAGTTTCAAGGAGCATTACTTTTTATCAGAAAACCTGGATAAAAAAAAGAAGAAAGCAAACCAAGCATTGATTTCGAACTCATGTTATATGAGAAGAAACAAGAGATAATATTGTATGTTCAATTAACGAGAAATATTGAGGTATGCATTTGACATCTCTAACTAAAATTCACTTGTATAAATCTGTCGTGTAAAATATTTCTAAAATAGAATGTATAACTGATAGTTAGAATTACGATTATTTCTGCACCAGTATTTTGCATTAATTAGTTTGTCCCCCCCCCAAAAAAAACAACAAAAACACCTACGGATTAAACGCTGAAAGCCGACGAAATATTTGGTTTGTTTTGAATTTCGCACAAAGCTACACGAGGGTTATCAGCGCAAGCCGTCCCTAATTTAGCAGTGAAAGACTAGAGGGAAGGCAGCTTGTCAACACCACCCACCGCCAACTCTTGGACTACTCTTTTACCAACGGATAGTGGGATTGACAGTCACGTTATAACGCTCCTACGGCTGAAAGGGCAAGCATGTTCGGTGTGACGGGGATTCAAACTCGCAACTCTCAGATTGCGAGTCGAGCGCCCTAACCGCTAGACCATGCCAGGCCTTTTTCAGGTCTCCCCTTATTGTCTTGTCACATACCTCGTGACTCACATTTAACTGCGTCCCCTTTTTTCGCATTAGTTGATACCTTGAAGTGCTTGTAAAGTTGTACGGATTCTTCTGAGTACGGGTCATATGTATTAACTTCACAGGTTTAGTTTAAAGGAACATTTATCTTTGTTCTGCAGATTAAATGAGATCACCAACAAGCAACAAAGGCAAACATTTTACCGGGGACAAACTTGGGATTCAAGCTATAATTTCCAATTACATAAGTGTTTGTGTGAGTGAAGGAAGCCAACGAAAAACCATCGGAAGATACGACTTTGGGTCCCAATAGCTAGGTAGGGCCATGGAGATCACCACTTACTATATAACATAAAAAAGATAAACTCTGAGATCCCTTCGTTAGATCTGCCAAAACGCCAGAAAATGTAGGTCTTGATAATTCATTATTAACTCCTGTTATCTTTAGTTTGTTTGTTTGTTTGTTT